AAGGCACCTCTCCACCCCCACACCCCTGTGTCTAGGCTGAGCAAGGTATCTCTCCATATAGAATAGGCTCCACAAAGTCAGTTTGTGCATTTCAGTGTTAGATCTAGACCCACTGCCAGTGGCCTCATATATTGTCCCAGTCACACCATTGTCACCTATATTAAGTGAGCCTAGTTCACTCTTATGCAGGTTCCTCATTTGTCAGACCTGAGACAGTGATCTCTCACTAGCTCAGGTCAGCTGATTCTGTGGGTTTCCCCATAATGGTCTTGACTCCTTTGTTCATATTATCATTCCTCCCTCACTTCAATTGTACTTCAGAAGTTTGATCCATTGGTTAGTTGTAGATTTCTGCATCTGCTTCCATCTGTTTCTAGGACAGGGTCCTAGCATCTCTGTGGTTGTGGATTGTAGGCTGGGTATCTTTTGCTTTATGTCTGGTAGGTTATTTGACCTCCAAATGAGTCCTTTAACAGCCCCCCACATAAGCACACTTTAATAATACAGAAATGTCAAGTGCCCTTGAGTCCCTGATTCCTGCACCTATGCTGTCCTTGAGACTTGCTACTGTTTTCCTGCAAGCAGGTGGCTAGAATTACCAAAACTAAACAGTACGGTCAGTTCTTCCCTGAGCTGAGTCACTTCTTTATGAGAAATATGTCCACACAACTGGTTCAAGTATTTATCCATTTTTATTTTATTATGTATATATCATTGATTAGTTTTGTCATTTCAATACTTTGTACATGTATATGATGGGTACTGCTTGCTCTCCCACACTCCCTTCTACCTTCCCTTATCCCTACCAACTTCCCCTTTTCTTTACCAGTTTCCTTCCCCACTTCCTGACTCTTGGCTGTTTTGTGACCTGATTAGCCTAACCAAGGCCCTCTGTGTGACCACTGTGACAGAACTATCCACTGGAGCCTCGTAGGTACAAAACTGAAGGGCAGGGACTGCCCCTTTCCTGAGTCTATCAGTAACAAATAGCTCAGCAGTAAAAGGGAAAGGCCCTAGCCCATCGTTGTGCACACCTAGTGCAAATATCCATAGCTTCCGTGAGGTTGTGAGTACAATGGCAAAGTCTTGCTCAGAAGATGAAAGTTCACAGCCCTTTCTCATGACCGGCTCTTCCACTACCCCCACCTGGCTGTTCCCTGGGCCTTAGATGTTATAATGTAACTAACTGTCTTGTGTAGGCATAAACACCATCCATCTTGATGGCTATATCTGGTTTTCGTTTGAGTTTGTTTCGATTCCGTATTTTTTTTTCTGGAAGAATGCAAGTAAATGTGTTCAGAATATTTTATTATAACATCCCAAGGATTATTTTTATTAGGTAAATTCTCTTTTTAATATTCTTCATAAATATATCATTTCCTTCATGATGCTCATGTGTGTCAAGCTCATGTTTGTGAGAGAACAGAAAATTCATTAAAACTTAAAGACCATGGTCACCTGATAGAGAAGTCTGAAAAATGAAAACTTTGCAGTAAAGGTTGGCATTTACAACTAGCTCAAGCTGGCCAGGAAATCATCAAACACTCAACTACAAATTATTTCTGTGAATACTCAAAATGGTACAGCAAGTGTTCAAATCTGGACAAGGGCCATTCCATGATAAATAACACCTGGTATCCATAGATCACTTGCCCAGACAATTGCTTATAATCGGCCACAGCCTCCATCACTTCAGCCACATAGGAAAATATGAAGAGTCATCATATTTGGGAGTAACTTCAATGGGTTTGAATAGCTGAGGTTTTGATCTTGATAAATTGCTCATTTTATATTTTTCCTTCAAGGAGACCTCTACTTTTAGAGGGGGCCTGGGAAAAAGACTATCATCTGTGTGTGTAAAAGGTGAGGCTTGAGATAGAATAAGAACCATCTCATCTGAAAGCTGTAAAATTTCCTGTACATTGTCAGTCTAAACAGAAATTGATGAGAGTAGGGGTAGGGAAGAGGGATTTAAGGTGAAAATCCATCCTTCTCCACAAAATCTCTTCCTGATAGGGTAGTTTCCTCCAAGAGTTTTGTTGGGTCTTAGTGCCGATGCTCACCAACTGAACCTCCGTGGGCTGGTAACTCTGACCTAGTGTGAAACAATACACAGGGGCCTGGTAAAGATTTACAGCAAGGTCCCCTAACTCCAGGAGATCCACCTTGGCCACTCAGCACCTGCACATACTTAAAGGGGCCTTTTAGTTTGAGGGCTCTTCTACCTAATGTAAGTATCTTTTCCATTTCTTCTGTTTACATCTATGAATGAATCGAATTCTTTTTCTATTTCCAGAGGAGAATCCTGATCTCTCTTAAATTTAAGGGCCAGAACTGGACCTTACCATTTGATTTTAACTTTACTATGTGTATAAGGACCTAATGGTGCCCAGCATCACTTGTAGTTTCTCACTTGGGACACATGCACATACACATTAATTGTCAACTCCTTGGCTCCTTTACCTCCAGTTGTCTTAGAGTCAGTGACTGTGTATTTGTTTTCCCTCAGAAATTCTTGCTGAGATGTAGGTAGGCTCTTTTTAGATAACATGCCTCACATCTCAGATGATTTATTCACTTTCAAGTTCCCCGGAATTTATTGCTAAAGGTTGATGTGAAACGCTTACAGTTTGGGCTCTAATATAATCTCCCGAGTGGCAATTAATAAATAAAAGATGGTTGCTGTTGTTGACAGAGGATCTAGGCTTTCTCAGTTAGCTCTTTTCTTCATATCTTCACCAAGTTTTATGCCAGACATCCCTAGGGGTTGATGTTAAAAAATATTTTCTGTAAATTCTAAAGCTTTTACTGTTGTTTCAATGTTCCCAGACCTCTATGTTGTCTTTTGTTTTCCTTGTCAGAAATGATCTTGCTTGATTCTTTTTTTTTTAAACTCTCCTTCCTTGCTGTGAATTGGGGGAAAGTGCATTTTCTGGATTTAACAGTATCATAGCCTTAGTATTTATGCTTGCAAATAGCACCTGCAATTTGTCCCTGAATTTTCCTGTATTTTTCTCAGCCTCTTCTCAGTTTCCTTTATTGAATATGCACTGTCATCTATAAAATGCAGTGTTTATTGCCGTCATGTGTATTGTTCACAGTGTGAGTTTGCTTCCTGTAAGTTAATGATGAAACCATAAGGTAATACCCAATTGTTGCCGTTTGCTGGCTTGACTGGGTGGGCTCCAGGGCTTGTGTAGACTAATATTCCTATTTTAGAGATGAGGAAAATGTGGGTCAGCTTATGAAACTTGACCATTAAGTAGAGGCCAGATACAGACCACATCTTGATGTTGGAAAGTGCATGGTACAGAGCTGTAATTGGACTGCCTCCGCTCAGTGCCCAATAGGGAGTTGAAGTGTGTAACTTTAACATGTTACTTCTGTTTTCTTATCTATAAATGCTAATTGGCTGGGGATTTATTTTGGCAATAGATCAGTTGCCTAGCATGCCTAAGACCTTTGGTTTGATTGCCTAGTGCCCAAACTATGCCAATATTAATATCAACATCACAACTGTAAGGCTTATACTAAGTTAATATCAGCAAAATGCATGGTACACTCCTAGAATTCTGTACATTGTTAGATATTTTTCCAGTTCTTTACATATTCCAGCAAATATGGAAGTGTGTTTTGCTAATCAACACTATGTGACACATATTAGGCCCCGCCTGTACTTATCTTATAGAGCCCTTGTAATGTGCAGAAATGAAAATAATGATGGCAATAAGAGGCAGGGCCCTTTGCTGAGCTTTAGCATGTGGTATGCCTTGAAGTCGACACACACATACATAATGCTCCACACGTGCGTGTGCCACATGGATGGAGAAGTCATAGTCAGTTATTTCCAGAAACATGGTGCACACTCTTAATGACAGTTGTCTCCCTGGTAGCTGGAGGGGAAGAGCGAGGCCTTGGTGGAACAGCTTGAATGGCAAAACTAAAGCTTTAATAGAATTACTTCTATCTTCTAAGCAACCATTTTGCTACTAATATTTCTATCACTTAAACTTGTTATTGCTGATAAGGAGACTGGGCTGGAGTAAGAGTAGAAGTTGGGGAGTGGAGTGGAGTGGAGGCCTAGGGCAAGCAAACTGTCCAAGAAGCAGACAGTTGTCATTTTTTTCAATAAATAAGCCCTTTATAGCTCTTTTATGTTTTACTTCTCTGCCCTGAAGTTGTTTTTTTACATAAAAAAGGAGGCTGCTTTCCTGAGGTCCAAATTGAAATATACCTGAAGCAGCACTAAGAAAATCTCTCTTTCCTCACTTGCTTTGCTTCATTTGCAGACTAAATAAATTTCATTCACCATGCATTAATCATCATTAGTATATTGTAAAGAATTTAATTATGAAAATCCTCATCACTAAGGGTCCTTGATTTCCAGGCCAATCAAATAAACAACTCTGGCAGTAACAGCAGGTATAGTGGATGAGATGGCTGGGTTGAGTACTAAGGGGAGCACTTTTTGTGTTTGGTTCATTATGAGTGTATGTGAGCCTCTGGCTGGGAATGGTGGCAAATGTTTTTAACCTCAGCTCTCCAGAAGTAGAAGCAGGCAGATCTCTGAGAGTTCAAAGGCCAGTCTGGTCTACATAGAGTTTGTGTGCCTCTATGTCCATATGTGTGTACATGGGTGTATATGCTCTCAAACATGTAATCTGTAGATAGTGACTTTTCAAATTCACGTGTATGTATACTTATGTGTGCATATTTACACATGCATATAAATTTCTGTGTGTAAAACAGATTTAAATACTGTCATCTAAAAGCTTACCACAGCTGTAGAGAAAGAAACTGAGGTCCAGAGATATCAATATGCCTCCCCAAGATGACCAAAAATAGTGATAAAGCTGGAGTTTAGCCAACAATGCTTACCGACTTAACACCCTCTTCTCAAAGCTCCCAGAACAGAGCTATTCTTGGAAAGAATGTGTATTTGCACCATAGCACAGTGCTCCATCATGGAGAGGCCTGACCTTTCACCCTTTCTCTTCCAGACTCTCCAAGCAAAGATTTTGGTCCAACGTTGGGTCTGAAAAAGTCCAGCTCCTTGGAGAGCCTGCAGACCGCTGTGGCTGAGGTCAGGAAGAGTGATATGCCCTTCCACAGGCCCAGACCACACATGGTGCGAGGTCGGGGCTGCAACGAGAGCTTCAGGGCCGCCATTGACAAATCATACGATGGGCCAGAAGAAGAAGAAGCTGGTAGGGCCATAGGCCCCCTTAAGTGGGTTCTCCATCTCATTATTATCTGCAAGTCATAAGCGAGAATTGCGCTTAACTACTGAAAAAATGATTTAAGGATCACAATTATATTTTTGATATTAAAAGTAATTCATTTTCCTGATATGTTTTGCCCTTTGGCTTAACGAACATGGGATTGGAGGATGCAATGTGCAATTTATTTCACAGTGCACACTGAAAAAAAAATGATCTCTTTCACTTCTCTAGAAGGACCAACTGTCATCTACCCTTAGGGCAGGAGCACTACGCATGCATTTCTTGGCATTCTTATTTGAGTCATTAAAAGCAACATCAACCAGAGGATGGGGCTGTCTTAATTGCATATAAGCAGTGGGCTATATTTATACTCAAAAAACCTCTCTTGGAAAGCAGCTCACCCTGTTTGTTTCCCAGCATGTGGGCTTTCGGAGCTGATGGAGGTTAACTAGCCAGCTTCCAGAGAGATTAGTGCTTTAGCACATTTCAAGCCTTTTGTGCTACCAGCAAGCAACTAAGGCAGTGCCCACTCCTAACCTCAAACATTGATTGAAGTACCCAGGACTGGGAAGACCTATGTAAAAAGGGTACAATCAGCCACGTGGTTAGGTGGAACACTGAGCCCTTCTATTCATTCTTCTGTATTTTACATCTGACTTTTTTTATATACTAACCATAAGTGCCCCTGACCATGGGTATTGATTTTTTTCTCTCTGTAGACGGTCTCTCTGATAAGAGCTCTCATTCTGGCCACGGAGCTCTGAATTGCGAGTCTGCCCCTCAGGGAAACCCTGAGTTAGACGATGTGGAAAATAAAGCCAGGAAAGTCAAAAAAGCAAAAGAGAAGGAGAAGAAAAAGGGAAAGAGCAAGCTGAAAGTCAAGGAAAAAAAGCAGAAAGAGGAGAGTGAAGACCCAGAGAAGAAAATGAAGAGGAAGGGATTCGGTGCCATGCTGAGGTAAGGGTCTCGTACGAAAGCACTTGACTTTGGCCTCCTAGCTAAATGACTCCTTTGTGTATGCTCGGAAAAGGTTTAAGTGTTCTCTAATCTTCAGCTATATTCATAAAACTCAAGGCTACGAATGTATTTTCTTTATTTGCCAAGAAGGCACAAATGCCTTTTGGGTGTCCCCTGAAGATTGTGGTGATAACGGGCAACTATCATTAGCCTGTTGTCAAGAGATCAGCAGCTTCATAGGGCATAGGAAGTGTTCCCTGTATGTCCCTCTGCAGGGAACACAATCAACTAGCATAAATATCCTTCTGTGGCATCTGACACTCAGTTCACCAACATGGGAGCTGTCCCCTGCAGGGGCACTAGAGATGTCCCCGGGATGAGGGTCATGTGACCCTGGTTTCAATCCAGGACCTTTTACATCTCAGCCTTAAGTCTCACACATCTTCTTCCCCTCCTTTCAGACTGAGACTCACATCATTCCTTCCTGTATCTGGGCCTGGGAGATGAAAGGCTGTGAATAGTGGATTCAGCAGCTAAGAGCACTAAGCAGCACACAGTCAGAGCACAACTTACTTCCTCACCTCCAAAAAACACTCTGTAGAAACTACTGTTCCCACATCCTGGTTTCCTGGTGATCAGGCTGATTTCTCGTCATTTGACCAGAGGCTTGCACAACTAATTCAATGTAAACCAGAAAATACCTCCTCTCTGGGTATAACTTCCCTGTCTGTGAAACCATGTGCAGGGGAAAGGCTGGGTTAAACTGAAGGATGTTTTAACTGGTTTAGAAGGCACAAGCTGACACCAGGGGTCCTTTGTGAACACCTTTGTAGATTGTTTAGGGAGCTCTTAAGTATAACAGCTGCTTCTGGGGGGGTGGGGAATGGCTAAAACCTCTCCTAAGGATCACTTATCATTAGCCCCTGACCTCAGACAGTGTGCCTAGAGTCTCCTTAGCCAAGCTGGCAAACTTCATAGGTAGTCAGAGAAGGCACTGGTGGCGGTAGCAGCAGCATCTACCTGGACTTCTTGGATGGAGGCAGAGAAAGCTTCAGCTATGTGGCAGTCACAGCAGCATCTACCTGGCCTGCTACAATCACCAATCCTTACCCCTGCAAATCACTCAGGTGCAGCTTGTTCTCATGGCTCTCCCTTCCCTCCCCCTACCACATGGATGTCATGCCAGCCTTGCTTCCTAAGACTTCTCCAGAGTACCAGGTTGCCTTCCTACCTAGAAGAACATGACAGACACTCCCTCAAGCGAGCTGTCATGTTTAGGGCGGGGTTGGGGGGAGATAACAAATTGTTTGCTGCTCACAAAGCAGAAGGAGTTACAAAATGAATTTCTAATTGGAGGATTTTCTTGTACCTTTTGGGGGGGCAGGAAGTAAGGTAAAAGTCCCCATCCTGTTACTTTATTTCTATAACTCCCTAACAAATCTACCAGCCTCTATCCTTCTTTACTCTGAAGGACAGATAATACATACGAGAGATATGAGCATATTGTGTAAAACCCTTAGAATATCTGTCTCAAACATGCTGGAGGATACAGGATACCAGTTGCTCTTAGTATGAATTCTTCTAAGGATAATTTTAGATAGAAAAGAAAATTCAATTCTATGATTCCATCTTCCCTCCTTCCCTCCCTTTTCCCTACCTTCTCGTGTGTGTGTGTGTGTGTGTGTGTGTGTGTGTGTATGTATGTATGTGAGAGAGAGAGAGAGAGAGAGAGAGAGAGAGAGAGAAAGAAGAAAAGGAGAAAGATAGATGAGTTGTGGGAACAACAAAATCACGTTTAAAGGACACAAATAGACAAATAGTGTGGACAGCTCTGTGTCATCCCATGACATATCACGTGTTCAAACAATGCTGCTTCCAGTACACTCCTCAAAGTCTTAGTAGCACCTTTGCCCCTGGATGTATTGTAACAAGATGTGTTGCGGCTTTGCGGAGGTTACCCACTGGTTACTTTTCTATTGCTGTGATAAAACACCATGACCAAGACAACTTATAAAAGACAGTATTTAATTAGATTTCAGAGGGTTAGAGTCCATGATGGTGGAACAAAGGCATGGAACAGGAAGAGCTGAGAGCTCACCTGGTAAACGGCAACCAGGAGTAGAGAGTGGCAGGATTCTTTTAAAATCTCAAAGGCCAACCACCCCCCCACACACACACATGCCCAGTTACACATCCCCTCTAACAACTCACACACACACACACACACATGCAAAGTTACACATCCCCTCTAACAAGGCCACACCTCTTTATCCTTAAATAGTTCTACCATCTAGAAACAAATCATTCAAACACATGCGCCCGTGGGAACAATTCTCATTCAATCTATCACATTAGCCTACCAGGTCACATACCCTAGAAATCATTGGACTATCAAAAAATAAGACTTCAAATTTAAAGATGAAATCTTTTGTTATTGATTGGTGAACTGTGCCCTATCTCATCTACAGAAGCTAGGCAGAAGGGATGGGCTTTATAAACAGGAAAAGGATGAAGGAAGCAGAAACCAGGGACATAAAGTGGATTGGCCACTGCAAACAGCTTTCTCCTGGAGTGACAGAAGAAGGGACTGCCTCACCATGGTGTCAAAGGGTGACAGAAACTCTTGATTGGTGACTGTGAACCCCCTAGTATTTTTAAACTTGTCCATTTCTAAGTCCATTTGATCTTGTAATTACTCCCACAAGTGACCATATTCTGGTTGTAGCCTACTCCAGGAGCTCAGGCTAATGCAGTGGCTTGTTCTATTCCGCATGACTCTAGACTAGACTAAACTATAGTCTAGAGACTCTTAGTGAGACACATCTTTCCATAAATATTGTTTGATTCTTCCCTCTGAGCCATCTAGACCCTGCCCTTCCTTAGCCATCTTGACTTTTGGAGTCTGCAGTGTCATCATCATGCTTATCAGATGTCATAGGCAGTTGAGAATGGAGAGATGGTTCATATACCAGCATGAAGACCAGAATTCATATCCTTAGAATCCACATAAATCTTGGACAGGGAAGTGTAGCAGGCTTTCTTGAACTACCAACAAGCTCCCAAATCAAGACAACAGAAACTCATTATCAGTTATGAATGTTCAACCTTATATTATGCCTATTTCTAGATAGCTTTTTCTTTAACTTAAATTAACCCATTTCTATTAATCTATGTGCTGCTCCAAGGCTCATTTGCCTCATCTATTATCCATCCTGCTTTCCTGCTTCCCCCATAGCTGGCTGGCTCCAGGCTGGCTGACCCTGGCTGAATGGCTTCCCTTTTCTTTCTGCTGCAAACCCCACCTATCTCTCCTCTCTCTGGCTATTGGCCAATCAGCTTTTTATTGTACCAATCAGATGCCTTAGGCAAGCAAGGTGAAGCAGCAACATACCTTTACCTAGTTAAGCAAAAACAGCATAAACAAAAGCAACATGTCTTACATAGATAAACAATTATTCTTCAACCCAAACAAATGTAACACATCTTCACTTAGTTAAACAAACATTCTATTGCACAGCACATAGCCCACCTGTGACTCCTGAGGACTACAGGATCTCCAGTGCAAGCTGGCTAGCTAGACTAATCAAATAAACACACTCTAGATTCAACTGAGAGACCCTGTCTCCATTTGTAGGGGGAAGATCAATCAAGGAAGCAGTCATCGTTAACCTTTGGGCTTCTACATGTGAGCACATATTTGCATACTTACCCTCACTACATATGCACACATACATGAGTGAAAACACATAGACTCATGAATAAATACCATCCATGTATGCATGCACTAAGGTCAATAAACACAAAATATTTTTTAGGGAAAGTAGGTGTGGTCTGATATGTGAGCATGTTGACAATGACTATAGCAGTATTGACATGAGAATTTTGTCGGTGAAGTTGTGGAGTTGAATGGTTACAAGTTCAAGATCTGCATGCATATTTCTAAGTTTAATCTCACCCCTTCACTTTCTAGATAGGTAATACTGGGCAAGCTAAGCCCTTCCTTTTAGTTTCTTCATCTGAAAACTGTGAATAATCATTGGATCTACTACTAGAGTGAGAAATATAATTGATTAATTATATAATCCACTTAGAACTATACTTTACAGGTAACATACATTCAGTAATAAACAAAGTTTCCCTAAAGAGGTCCAAATCCTAGTCCCCAGTATCTATGTATGTGTTATTTGACAAAATTAAGGCAGGAGGAGAAGGCAGGAGGATGGCTGCTCTCCTAGTCCTAAGGTAAGGCGGTTGTCCTGAGTTTCCTCACTGAGCTTGGTGGAATCATAGGGTCTTTCAAGTGGAAGACATGACAAGGAAACATGGTGCAAAGAAATGCAGCATGCTTGCTGTGAAAATGGAGGGAGGGGAACATGAGCCAAGGAATATGAGCAGCCCGTGTAAGCTGGAAAGGACAAGGAAATGACTTCCCTCTGGCTAGCCCCTTAATTTTCATCCATATGTGTTATTCATACCACTAAGATTGTACTAATTGCTTACAGTATCAACGGAAACCAGCACGGTCATTATCATAAGTATTATTACTGCTTCTACAATGCCACAGTAATTTATAAGGACAAGTTTCCTCTTTGGGGTATTAAAGAAAAAACTATAAAAATGATTTAACTGCAGTAATCTGTAAATATGAAAACTCTCAGAGATTCACAGGGCCTGTTTCTGAGACTGTCACCAAGTGAAATCCTAACTGTGTTTACTGTTACATGGCTCCAGGTACTCATTGTCCACAATACAGGCCAGCTCTTCCTTTTGTCACAAATGCTCCCTATTTCTACATAGTAGAAGCCACAGGCCCTGGATCCTCTAGACACACAGCACCTTGGCTTTTGTGCCTTTTCACTACTCTAGCAAAATCAAGAGCCGAGAGGTGGTGTTAGATTTTATCTTCTGTATAAAAATAGCAACTGTTTTCCATAGCCTTTTGCATTTGAGTTGGTTAGCATATTGGAGTTGCTGCTACATGCAAGCTCTCAGCAACAAAG